GGCGAGTCTGGCTGTATGTCACCTCACCATGCACCTTCTGGGAGGCACGACTCCTCTCCAGGCCCCACTGCCCACCTCTAAGAAAAAGGGAGTTGAATTAGATCCACAAAATACCCATCGTTAAGACTGCAGACCAGGCACTGGATAGCTTTGGTTCACGTCCTGGCTCTGTAGCTCACTAGCTACCTTGTGTTACCTTGTGCAAGGTACATCATCTTTGGATCTTAGTTTCCCCATCTGTAAATGGGGGTTAGTAATTGATTCAACCTTGTGGATTTGTTGTGAGGAATTAAAGGAGTTAATATATCTGAAGACTTAGAAGAACATCTGGCATGCGGCAAGAGCTCTACAAGGGTTAAATATTGTTGCTGTTATAATTTTATTGTTGTCGTTAGATGTCTTAAAGGCTCTGTCCAGCTTTGATCTTCTATCAGGGTCTACGCTGCCCCAAGAGACTGATGCCTGTTGCAGTCTAGCCCTTCCTGGAAACTGGAGTAGGGACTCCTCCCTAGCCTCTCTTCCCCAGGGGTCCAAAGGACCCTCTTCTATAGTCCTCAGGCCAGCTGGGCCTGCTGGGTTAGGCCTTCCTGGATTAAGGGATTGAGTCCTGACTCAAATTTCTCTGTTACTGAAAGCCAGCTTTGCAAGCATGAAATTGCCCTTGGGGTCTCCAAGGTCTTCATTCCTATGAGGCCACATGGGATTGATTATACTGCAGGTGGGGTGAGAAGATTTGGACTAAGGCTGACCCGTGGCCTGGACTGGAGAGAGAGAGCCAGCAGGCAGCTGGGGACAGACTGGAGGGCAGCCTGGTGGCCAAGGGGTACTGGTGTGAAGCACAGGAAGGTTGGTTTTTTTGTTGTTTTTTTTTTTTGCCCCCACAAGCTCTCACAGCTCCATCTTCTTGGGTAACAACTATGCTGGGACTGGAATCCTATGCTCTAGCCCCAGGCTCAGAAAACAGCTCAAATCCCTGAAGTCATCTCTGTGGACCAGCATATATGGTCTTCTATGGGAGTCCAGCTCTGCTGGTGGCATTGTGTGGATGTATGTGTATGTGTTTTCATGTCTTTGGTTAGAACTCTGCTCTCCCACTCAATCTACCTGGACCCCAGTGGGAGTAAGAAAATGCACTGCCCCATGGAAAGGATCCTCAGTGGCTCATTCCTCTAAGGCAGAACCATTTTCACACCAAGATACAGAGGCAATGTCAGCCTGTGAATGAATTCAAACTCTCTCCTGAGTCACACGGTATTACCTTGCTTTTCAAATGCATAGTGCCTTGTCCACTCAAGTCACAGGACTGTAGGGTACTGAAGTTGGCCAGGATGTCAAAGAGTATCTCATCCAACTCAAGCCATGTTCTTGTGAAGGCCCAAAGAAGAAGGTCTTTATGTGAACAGAACATCTTGGTACCTGCTATATAATGAATTTCCATCTCGTGGGGACAGGATAGCACTGATAAACTATGACCATTTTCCACGTCAAAGTTGCTAAGCTCTTTCTGTAAGGCACTGAGGAAGAGTGAACAATAAACCCAAATCCTCTACCCAGAGTTCTTTTGACATAGGTATACCTCCATTCAGGGAAGGTGAGATCTTGTTTCTTTATCTTCCAAAGGCAAAGTCTATTAGGAGGTATAAGGTTAAACCACGGGAGGGTGGGGGGGTGGACGCCTGGACATTCAGACGTAGATAAATATTCTTAGACATTACATCTGATAGAGGATAAAGGGGGAAGGTGGGAAAAATCATTTGGCCCCCATCTCAGTTCCTCAGAGTCCTGAAATTTTCATCTTATTGCAATGAGAGGGATGCAGGTATGAAACAGTGCAGACAGGAGAGCCACCCCTGTGTAAGCTGTTCTTAAAACATGGGAAATAGAGGCCAGGCAGTAGCCTCATGGTTCCATTGGGCCCCTTGGCTCATGGCTCTATTGGCTGCCCCCAGGCCTCAGGAAAGAGCTCACTAGCTACCTGGGGGTGGCAGAGGTACACAATAAAGTCTCCTAAGATTCTGAAAGGCTCCGCAATGAATCATGTCGCAGCTTCCTTCTTTCCCCTCCTGGATGCAGCATGTAGCTCAGGAGGTCCCTGCAGCCCAGGCCCACTGTGACAAAGAACACCTTGGGGTTATTAGATTGCCCTCCCAAGAGCCTGCCTCTCACCTCCTCCTTCAATCCCTTCTCCTCCCTACAGTCAGAATGAGGGTTTTTGTTGTTTTGAGACAGGCTGTCACTCTGCCATCCAGGCTGTGTAGTACAATGGTGCAATCATAGCTCACTGTAACCTCGAACTCTTGGCTCAGGAGGTCCTCCTGCTTCAGCCCCCCAAGTATCTGGGACCACAGGTACACTACTAGGCTTAGTTAATTTTAAAATAATTTTTTTATAGAGATGGGGGTCTTATTATGTTGTCTGAACTGGTCTCAAACTCCTGGCCCCAAGCAATCCTCCCACCTCAGCCTCCCAAAGGGCTGGGATTACAGGCAGTGAATCTTCACGCCCAGCCCACACTGAGAGTTTTTTTTTTTTTTTAATACAAATTGGACACTGTCACTCCTTTAGCTTAAACAAACCTCAACAGCTCTTTGTGAATAGAGATTGAAACTCTTCAATGGCCTCTTAAGCCTACTGGACTGAACTCTCCTGACTCAGCTCTTTCACTCACTCTCTAAGCTCTGGCTCTCCCTGCTCTCCATGGGCTCCTTTAGAGCCTGCATCATAGTTTGCAAGCAGATGTTTAACATCTGTCTGCCTCATTAGACTGTGAGCTTCTTGAGGGGAGGGCCCTGCCATTTGCTTTCCTTTGTACTAATTGCTTAACACAGTGCCAGGGCCAGGCCCCAACCCAAGGTAGGTGTTAAGCATGTATTTGTTGAATAAATGAAAGAACAGCCTCTGACATTCAAAAATGGACAGGGAGGACATGCAAATGTATGCATGTGTGCACACGGGCACCTCTAAGTTTTGGAGGTCAAACTCCTCCCCTCTCAGTGTATGACAGGGATAGCTCCTATAGCGTCAGCAAAGAGCTGACTCTACATGCAATTAGCCCCATTTCCTTTCTACTTCACTTGAATCCTTGGTCAAACCTTGCTTATTGGTGGCAATAAATATAGTTCTCTATCTTTAGGGAGAGAGCAGGTAGCTCTTCCAAAGCAGACCAGGTGGTCTTGTCTCTAGTGCCTCACCTGCCCTCCACTCTCCTTGAGGAAATCTATTGCTAGCTGTCCTATTCTCATCTCTCTTTTTTTTTTTTTTTTTTGAGACAGAGTCCTACTTTGTCACCTACAGTAGTGCTGTGGCTTCACAGCTCACAGCAACCTCAAACTCTCAGGCTCAAGCAATTCTCTTGTCTCAGCTTCCCCAGTAGCTGGGAATACAGGTATCCACCACAACACCTAGCTATTTTTAGAGACAGGGTCTTGCTCTTGCTTGGGCTGGTCTTGAACCTGTGAGCTCAGACAATCCACCTGCCTCAGCCTCCCAGAGTGCTGGGATTACAGATGTGAGCCACTGCGCCTGGCCCCAATTCCCATCTTCTGTCCACATTCCTCAAAAACTCAACCATCTATCCTTCCAACTGGATAGATGGCCCTACCCCAGCTGATCAGATCCCCTGTTCTATCCTTGAAGAAGCTCCGGAGTGAGCTCACCTTCTCCAGGAGGCCTCCTGGCTGCACAGTTCCTAGGCCCTCCTCCTTCCTGGCCGCTCTCAGTGGAGTCTCGTCTGTGACTGGTTCCTGAAATTTGTTGCCTGTTTGGTACCACTTTGAGGTGTGATTCCCAAGAGGGTTTATGTATCTGTAGGACTTATGGTCTCGTGGGTCTCCAGTGACAAACTTAGCTGAAAATTTAAGGCTTTGGATGATGAAAATGCCCTCCCTGTTAGGGGTCGTATAAATGAGGCATCATGGAACAAACTCACCTGAAGCCAATCCGGTTGAGATTAAAGCTCTGCAAAGAGGAGTTGGATGGGCTGATGTCACAGGACCCTTCCATCTCTGGCCTCTGGGGCTGGGGTGTTAGCCCTGGGGGACCCTGCCCTGCCAATCCTGGACTGGAGGAGGAGAGAGGCGGGGTGAGTGGGAGGGGCGGAGGGAGCTGAGGCACCCGCAGTGACACCTGCTGCAGCCCTGTTCTCCACTGTCAGTTGACCCAGAGGCTCTGGCAGCAAGCAGCAAGCAGCAGCTGGACACGGAAAGGAGGGAGCAGACAGGAGGCAGGAGGCTGGCTGTGCACCCAGGTAGGTGGGTGCTGCCCACCTGGCCACACACCAAGGCCACCGAAGGGCTGAGATGGAGACGCTGAGCTGTTCTCTATCTTTTCTACTCAGTAAGGGGCAGGCAATGGGCATGGGATCAGCCTGGTGAAGATTCAGCCTGGCTGGCTGATCACATGCTGGGTACATCTATGGCCCCCTCTAGGTGACTCCAGGATATCGGGGGAGAGAATTTCAGTAAGTCTTGTCTGGGTGGTTTTGTCTTGGCTCTGATTTTCTGGGGCACTGCTTGACTTAGAATGGGATGCAGTGACCAGATTAAAAATATCACTAGTAGTCCAGAATAAGGACCTCAGGGCTGGGACTTGCCATCTTTCGGCTAATAACATTGTCAAACCAGTCAAAAGAAACCCTGTTTGGCTTTTCTTGCTTCAAAGCCCACCAGTTAAGGAGTTGGAGATAGCAGGGACTTAGATCTAGAGGAGGGAACAGCAGGTGGAGGCTGAGGGCAGGGGTCATAGGTGCTGGAAAGGCCAGGGAGACACTACCCTGGGGAGGACACAAGCTGCCATTTGGTGCCGGGAAGAATTGGGATTCTTCCCAAATGTGGGAATGAACATGGAGGAGAATATTCATTTCCTTCTCTACCCCCTACAGTTAAGACCACATCTCTCTAGTCTCCAACCAAACATGTCCTTACCCATTTGTCATTGACCTTGTACCAAATCTGGCTTATTTCTGAAAGAGGAGGGAAGTCCAGGAGCTGATATGGCTTGACATGGGCACTAAGTTAAAGGGTTCTGCTTTCCTCTTCACCCTCAGCTGGGACCTGTGGGTGGGGGGCTGAAGGGGTAAGAGTGGCACTGTATTTCGGCATGTGTGATGAATAGCTGAGTAATTGACTAATAGCTTGTGGTGCCAATGATGGGGACGATGATGAAGATGATGACTGAGATAGTTGCATTCCACTCAGATTGCTTCAGTGTGGGGCCACTAACAGGTGCATGCACTTCCTTCTATAGGAGATTGTAGTGGGGAGTGGGTGGGACCAAGACCTCTGCAGCACTCTCCTCTAATGATGGTCTGCCGTGTCCTCCTCCACTGGTGGCTGCCTTCCCTCTCTACCCTCCCATGTGATCCCTGTGACATAGCGGCTGTGACACCTGTGACCGCTCCAGAACGCGGTTGGCGCATGATGGCATTCCAGCGCACTAGGGTGCAGCGCCTGAGCTGTAGAGGGGCTGCCTGGGGCTAGAAGTACCAGTGGGTGGGCAGTTGCGAAATGGAAGAGTCTCAGTTGGAGGGAGGAATCTGCTCTGTCATGTGTGAATCTATATTAATAACAGGGCTCTTTGGGCAGGAAACGGAGTCCCCAAAATGGAACCAATTGGTTATGCGCCAATTGCACAGGAGGTGGGATTGCTGGAGAATTCCTTCAAGACCACCTGCCCCCCATTTTATGGCTCTCATCCTGTCTGAGACCAAACCACCCTGCCCTGTGTTGGATTCGCTATTGGCCATACCAGATGGATGCGTTTAAGAGGAAATCATGGGGAGATAGATGGTGGTGGTGGGGAGAGGATGGAAAACACTCCGTTCACCTGACACTGTAATTCACTGGCTTCAAAGAGGAGCAGATGGATTTATGGGGATCCCATTGGCCTGAGCAGAGAAGAGCTCAAGAGCAGCCAAGTTGAAGACTCTCCCCTGCAGATCTTGTGATCTAAAGAATTCCAGATAGGGGGAATGTAGGAGGTGGGGGCTACTGAGCACTGCCAGAAAGTCCCAGAGTTAGGGGGAGAATGTCCCTGGAGAATTCACATTCCAAAAGTGAGGGGGCAAGGCTGTTAAACAGCTGGAAGGATCCTAAATGAGTTTGATTTCCTCTTGTTTGGGAAAGCTGTGTCTCACCCTGAGCGGACATCAGGTCGGGGGTCCCACTGGGAGGCCAGACCAATAGGATAGAGGATAGGCTCAGTCCTGTGCTTCCCTTTTCCTGGGAAAGGTCCCAGCTGGGTAGAATCCTACCCCCTCCCTGGTCTCTGGGAGACTGGTTTTGCCGGGGCCAGGGAATCACAGAAAACCAGTTAGTGCCATTAATGGAGTTAGACAAGCTCTTAGAGATAACAGCTTTTCCCAGTTCCCACCCCAGATATTGTCTGGCACACTGATGGCATGGGACATGGGAGGGTTGGTGGAAGACCAGTCTGGACCTTGCAGGAGCCACACTACCTTCTGTTCTTAGGAGATCTATTTCCACCCTCCGGGGAGCCAAAGAGGAAGCACAACTATGGCAGGTGAGAGAAGAATCACCCTCCCCTCCTCCTCCCCAGGGTGGAGAGGAAGGAAGGGCCAAGGATTTGGAAGGACTTAGTGGGCTCAGGGTTTTTTTTTAAGGTTTGGCTTTGAATTTCAAATTTTTTCCCCAAGTATGAGGTGCAGAGCCCCTACATGGGCTCCTGCTTCCTGAGGAGGAGCCCTTCCCCATTCTTCCTTCCCAAGGTTTCCCCAGGGACACACTTGTGGCCTTCCAGGGAGCCCCCTGCCCACTTCATAGGGGCTCCGTTCAAAGGGCCACCATCAGATTCCCACTAGGAAATGCAAAAGCACCGTCCACAGGCAGGAAGAAGGACCCGCAGTCCTGCACCAACAGTCAGAGAGAGAAGGGGGTTCCTGCTCCTTGGCTGATGGGGTGAATGCTCCATTCTACTGAAGGGACACCCAAGAGGGGAGAAGGGGAAAGGTCCACCTCTGTCTCTCCTGCCTTCCCCAGAGAAGTCCCAGAAGAAGTCCTCTGTCCCTGGGGTGAGCATCCGGCAGCTGGTGGAGGAGATCCCTGAAGGCTGCAGCACGCCGGACTTTGAGCAGAAGCCTGTCACCTTGGCTCTGCAGGAGGGTGAGAGCCTGGGGATGGGTAGGCAAGATTCCTGCCCTGTCACCTCCCAGCAGGCACCTTGTCCCTCCATCCATCACAAGGCCATTTTGTGTCTCCCTCCTGTACTCGGGTGGTGCCTTCCTGCCTGGGTCCCGTACTAAGACAAGGGGGAAAAGGGAGTGAAGAATACCATGTTATGCTGATGTGAGAAATATCTGGGGGACAAGGATAGGGAAATGCTAAATTGGGAAGCAGAGAGAAGTTATGTGTCCTAGTCCCCCTCTCCTCTCTCCCTGCCTCAAAGCCGCTGCAGAGAGGCCATGTTCCCACCAAGCTAATTCTGACTCCCCCCAACCCTTGTCTCCAGACAGCGGCATCCCCAGTGGCTCACAGACTGGGCTCTGGACGGTCACCTGAGAAAAGTGCCCCAGACAGTGGTGGGGAAAAAAAGGCTTGTTGGGAAAGGGGTGGGAATTGATGTTCTCGTCTCAACACAGATTCTCACAATACATTTTAGTTCACAACATTCTGGTAGAAGGAAAATAACAGCACTTTATTTTTCTAAATCTTGAACAAGCTCATGAGAAATTGAGGAGGGCCCCTGGGCTTTTAGTCCATATTGCTCTCTACTGAGATATCCCTGGTGGAAGGCAGAGGGGCTCTGTGAGGGTAAGCAGCTCCCAGGCTCCCATGCCAGACTTGGGGTCTTTTCTGGAGCCCTGTGTCTCTGGACTAGCTCCTTGGAGCACTAAATAGCCCTTCCTTTCTGAAATTGTCATTTCTCTTCCCTCTTGAAGGTAGGAATGGAACCCTCAAGATCTCATCCCCTTCCTAGTCTTGGGAGAATCCTTTAGACGCCCACTCTCAAAGAAACGCCCTTCTCCTGCCCAAGCCCTACGGGCTTTCCTTTTTTTACTGAGGACAGTCCAGCTGATCTTTCTGTCAAGGAGCCCAGGCTTCTGCAGTACAAAAGCAGGCAAGGACTCTCTTGTGGGTGCCTGGAATCTACTGCCTTCCCCTCGTAAGAGTCTTGAGACAAGGCGCCCAAGACCTGGCACCCTTCTCAATGGGCAATGGAGATCCCTAGAGCAGGGAGGATGACATTAGTTAGAATCCCAATAAAGTATACTGTAACCTTCCCCAACCAGTCTCCCCATGTGCCTCTTCCTACTGCAGGGAAAAATGCCATCTTTCGGGCTGTGGTCTGCGGGGAGCCCAGGCCCAAGGTGCATTGGCAGAGCACCAAAGGTGACCTCAGTAATTCCAGCAAGTACCAGGTCTCCTCTGCCCCCGGCAGCAAGGAGCATGTGCTGCAGGTAAGAACCAAAGCTCTTCCCTTGCCCAGGGTCCACCCACCTCTTCCCATCCCCTCAAAGGTCTTCTTGGCAACCTCCAATCTCCCTGAGGAGTAAGAGATAGTCCTAGTTGCAGTTGAGTCCATTCAACTCCTTTCCATGGCTCAAAATTGCAGAGCCAAGAGTGGACCCAGCAGACCTGCAGACACCTCTGTTAATAATCTGGGAGGGGATGTAGACTGCAGCTTAGGAGCTTGAGCTCTGGAGTCAGACAGCCTAGGTTACAATCCTAGGCCACCACCCTGCTTCACAGTTACTTCCTTCTTTCTACCTCTGTTTCCTCATCTGTAAAATGGATAATAATACCCATTATTACATGTAGTACTCACATATACATATATGTTATATGTATATATACTATATGTATATGTGATGCCTACATCAATAATAGTACCTACATCAGGCAAGTTGGCACTTTTCCCTGCAGCAGGAAGAGGCCTATGGGGAGACTGCTTGGGGGAAGGCTGTAGTATACTTTAGTGAGATTCTAATTGAAGTCATCCTCCCTACTGTAGTACCTACATCAAGGAGTTCGTATGAGCATTAAAGGTTTACGTAAAGGGTCTAGCCAGTGCCTGGCCTATAGTGAGTACTCAATGAATCTTGAGTATTATATATACCAGCCATGGAACACCTACCATGTGCCGGGCCCTGGCCTAAACATAGATTATATGGTTTAATCCTGAGCATTCAATACTTTCTGAGGTATTATTATCCCTGTCTTATAAATGAAGAAACAAAGTTTAGAGAGGTTAGATAGCTTGCCCAAGGTCCCACATCTGGTAATACATGACAGAGATGGTTTTCAGTCCCAGATCCATCTGACCCCTACAAGTGAACTCTTTCTGCTACACCATGTTGCCTCTGATGGCAAAGAGTTGGTGCATCCACCTATCCAGATCCAGGTTTTTGTTTTGGGGTTTGTCCCCATAAACACTGTGAGGCCTACAAGGATAAGAACTGTGTCCTGCTTACCTTATGCCCTCAACACATGGCACGTCTAGGAAGCTGAGGAAGGGAAATGAAATGCTAGCCCTGTTCCCCTGCCCACGGCCTCTCTGCAGGTCAACAAGCTGACAGGTGAGGACACTGATGTGTACCGCTGCACAGCAGTGAACATGTACGGAGAGGCTACGTGCACAGTGAGACTCACCGTCATCGAAGGTGGGCTTCCCCTATCCCCAGCCCCAAGCCTGTCTCATCAGTGCCTAAGCATCACTTTCTCCTCCAAAAGCCCTCAGAGGAATCAGAAGCCGTGCAACTGCCTGGGTGGGGAGGAAAGGTGGTGGGCAGGGAGGAAGGGGAGACCCACAAAGGCTGCTGTTGCCACCTCACCTTGCACCAGACCCTTGGCCCTCAGCCACTTACTCATGAAGTCTACATGTGATTCAAAAGGCACACCTCAGCAGCTGCCCTGTCGCAGATGCTCTGAAGGATATTTTCTTGGCCAAATGGAATGAGGACAGGACTTGGAAGTTGCTTTCTAGTCCTGGATCATCTGCTAACTTGCCCAGTGGGTTTTTTTTTTTCCTCTCTGAGCCTCAGGTTCTCCACTGTGCAAGGGATGTTTTGTATAGGTTTTTGTCAGAGGTGACTGATGGGTAATACAAAGGCCAAATCCTGTCTCAGATGAATTTAGTTTGATCTGCACAGTATTTGAAATTTTAAAAATTAGTCATCAAATTATAATAATTAAAAGGTAGCTGTCTCGTGAGGAAGCACATCTAGTCTTTCAGTTGGTTATGTTTATAATTGGTTTGCCTACAAGTATCAGAAAATCCTACTAAGAGTAGCCAAGATATTTAATTACTTCACATAGCAAGTCCTGAGACTGGCATCAAGGGCTCATGCCACCGTTGAGGGCTATCATCAGAAATCTGGGTTCTTTCTGTTTTACTGCTCAGCCATCCTTAGCAGGCTGGTTTATCACCTCATGGTCATAAGGTGGCTGCCACAGGAAGGTGGGAGAGGTGCCCTGGGTCTATCTGCCTCTCCTGTCAAGGAAGCAAAGGCTTTCCCAGAAACTCTTGGAGCTCACTGGCCAGAACCATGTTCCATGACCACTGCTGGTTGTAGGAGAAGCTGGGAAAGTAGCTTTCCTAGCCTCTCTAGTAGAAGGAGGTGATGTAGAGGAGGATTGTGAATGGCTGCAGGGTCAGCCAAGCAGCAGGGTCTGGCATATTTGGCAATATTAGACCTATACCCTGAAATGGCAGGTCTCAGGTTGAATGAATGAGCAGCTGCCCCCTTAAATGCTCTTCAGTTTGTTGTGGGTGCCACTGTCCACTTCACTCATTTATGCTACCTCCCTGGTCTCTATGGACATGTGACTGGGCCTCCTCTGTATAAGATGACGCTCAGGTTGGATCCCCGTGTCATGGTAGGGCTCTGGGGTATCAAAGCTTATGACAGACCATCCACCCTGCTCCCTTCCTCTTGCTGGGATATTCACGCCTTAGAGGGCAGTGGGGAGGACAAGGCTCTGGGACTTATCAGTTTCTCAGGAAGATCACAGCGTGTCTTGCCTCTTTCCCTGCCTATCCACATCAACTCCTCCCCGGATGACCCAGTTGGCTTTCGGAAGAAACGGAAGAGGCAAAAGGAACCACAGGAGGGTAGGTGGATTTGTCAGAAATCTCCTGGGGCCTTTGGGGATATGCTACTCCTTGTCTGGTGTTCCCCACCTGGTTAAGCCTCCATGCACACCTCGTGGGTCATCACCAATCTTTAGGGGACCCCATTTCATAGGCTTAGTTGTCAGCATGGCCCATGCAGAAAAGCCCTGCATTAGCTCCCAGGTATCCATCCTGCTGGGAACCTGCCTGGCAAAGGTTATTAGAGACCCTGGGAGTAGACTGACAGGAGATGTGAAAGGAGAGAGAGAGAATAGCGGGATCAGGAGGACTTGCCTCAGTAGGAACCAGCAATCTCAGCCTTACTGCACTTTATATACAGTAGCTTGAAGGCATGATCTTGTCATAATTGCACAACTTGATTATGAAACAGTCTAGGGGCAAAATAGCATTCTCTGCAGTCTGTTGTGATCAAAGGGGCA